TGAAGTCGCAGCTGCAAAAGAGACACACCTGCACTAACCTGGGTGAGTTGCACAGCTATCTTGGCTTGCAGATCACCCGGGACAGAGCACGGCGCACCATCACCCTGACTTAGTCACACATGGTGCACCAGGTCCTTCAGCGCTTCGGCTTCCGGTACTCCTCGCCACAATCCACTCCTCTGCCTACCAGTCACTCGCTCTCAGCTCCACCTTCGGACGAGTCCGTAGAGCCGAGTGGCCCGTATCCAGAGCTTGTGGGCTGCCTCATGTACGCCCAGACTCAGCACCCCCGGACTCAGCACCCCCAGGCTCCAGACGCTCAGGCTCAGCACCCCCAGGCTCTGTACCCCCAGTCCCCGCACCCGCAGGCTTAGCACCCCTAGCAGCACCTGAGTCGACAGCTACCTTGACCGGCTCGGCATGGTCTACCTGGGACACACCTGAGGGGGAAGGACCCTGAGGGGGGAGGGGGTCTACCGGAGGAGTACCTGGTGCTAGGAAGAGTGGCGGGGGGGGGAGAGAGGCAGTGCGGTAGGGAAAGAGATGGTAGTACGACACCGACTCGTCAAACGTGACGTCCTGAGAGGACAGAACACGACGTGAGGTGGGGTGGTAGAACTGCCACCCGGGTGCGTCAGGGGGGAAGCCAAGGAAGACGCAAGGAACGGCACAGGAGGACAGCTTGTCCGCGGAAGTATCGCGGACAAAAGCTCAAGATCCCCAGACACGGAACACACACGCATCGCCAACCTTCCCCATCCACCGCAGAGTAGGTGTGGTCTCCGGCAAGGAGACACGAGGCTGAAGGTTGATCTGATGCCCAACGTACTGAACCACGAACGGCCACAGAAAATGGGGAGCAGCCGCATGGATCATGGACGTACGAGCGACGTCCATGACCATGCCAATGCGGCGCTCAGCAATCCCATTTTGCTGCGGGGAGGCCGGGAGCGTGAACGTCTGGCGGATGCCCTCCGCACGACAGAAGGCCCTCAAAAGTTCGGAGGAAAACTCACCACCTCTGTCTGAGTGCTGACGCAGAACAGGAAGGTCCGAGCCGAAAATCTCGCTGAGCTGGCGACGGGCACCGCGGATCCAGTCGATCAACACCTCAGTGACCTCACCCTTGCGGCGCAAGGGGAAGACTGTGGTGTAACGCGAGTAGTCATCAACGACTAGCAGGAAGTAACGCTCGTGACCCTGTCCACTGACGCGGGCTGGGCCCCACACGTCCATGTGGAGAGTCTGCAGGGGAGCCTCTGTCGGAGGGAACTCGGTGGAGTGGGGAGCGGCGCGCTGCCGGCCCTCGACACAAGGAACACAGGTAGGGGCAGGCCCCGGAGGAAGGGGAGGGAGGGACCGGGGGAGACCAGAGACAAGGGTACAGGAGGCCATACCTCGAAGATGAGGCAGGGAGGGGTGACCAAGAAGGTGGTGCCAAAGGAGAGTCTCGTGTGACAGAGGACGACACGAGCAGGGGGCAGACACTGGACTAGACCTGGACGCGGCAGCAAACACCTGACCAGACGCGGCAACCTGACCAGACGCAGTAACCGGAGGAGACGCAGTAATCAGTGTGTACAGACTCGACCCAGGCCGACGGGTGAACGTGGCCAGGTGGCGGCCCGTCCGAGAGCAAGTGCAGTGGGTCACACGCTGACCTCCAGGGGTGAATTGGTCAACCCACAAGTCCTGAAGGTCAGCTCCACTCACCAAGTTCGTAGAGAACGAGGGGAGGTGGAGTCCCGACAGCAAGCCCGACGGGGCCGCAGGACACGGTAGAACCGTGGAAGAGTGCGCAAGGACTGGGCCCCCAAAGGGGTCAGCCAGGGAGACTGCGACAGGCCGACTGAGCGGCGTGAGTGTGGTGCTGTCGCGAAAGAAGGAGCGAGAAGCACCAGAGTCAAGTGTGAAAGTGTGCAAGGCCTCAGTAGGTGCAGTACCAGAGAGAGCAGACTCACCAGCACCTGGAGCAACAGACTCACTAGTACCTGGAGTAGCAGACTCAATAGCACCTAGAGCAGCAGCCTCAATGCCCGGGTCGGGCGGAACACATAGGTAACAGTCACCCTCAGCACTATCACTCACAGCATACATGGCAGCAAGGATAGCATCGAAATCAAGATCAAAGATAGCAACATTCTGCCTAAGCAGATCACCCCAGCGAGGGAGCTCAACAGCGTCAGGAAACTGGGCGCGCCAGGCGTTAGTCAGGCGACCGAAGCAGCGCTGCTCAGTGTGTGGCAGCCCGCACGTCTCCCCACGGCGCCCGCCGGTGCGAAGAACGTAAGTGCAGGGACCAACACCCCCAGACCTCCCACGCCCAGCGTACCACTCACGAAGCTGCTGGGCCGACGGGGTCTCACGGGAACGCGGCTGCTGCTGGCGCTGGCTACCACCAAAGCCTCGACGCTGCGCGGCTCCACCTCGACCAGCACCACCGCCACCGCCACCTCCACCACCGCTGCCGCTGCCTCCACCAGCCCCACCGCCGCCACCGAAGCCCCCACTCCCGCCACCACCCCCACCTCCACCGCCACCCCCTCCGCCTCCTCCACCGCCTCCACCGCCGCCCCCACCATCCCCTCCACCACCCTTGACCCCCTTGCCCTTGCTGTTGCGGCGCCTCCTACTAGGAGCAGACGCAGCCCCGACCTCCTCAGTGCGAACGAGGTCGACAGCAGCAGCAGAAGCAACAGAGGGGAGAAGGGGGACAGGGGAACACCTCTCAAAGATAGGGGCGCAAGGGTCGCCGCGAGAAGCACCTACAGCAACGATACTCTTCTCAGCTGCAGTGAGGCGCTCCTCTAGCAGGTCGACGATGAGCTCGGTGGGGCAAAGGGAGAGAAAGTGGTCCCTGACTGAAGCAAGGGAGTCAGGGAGGCGGGTGACTAGGTAGTAAAGGGTGATGTACATGGGGGGGGGGGGTTCTTGGCACAGAACTCAGTGGGAAGCGTAGCTCGGTAGCGGGCGTCACTAGTGCGGAGGTGAGTAATGAGGTCAGCGACTGTGGCAAAGGCGGCAAGGTCAGGGAACAGGTACGGCAGCATGAGGCGGCTGAGGGCAGCAGTGGCAGGGGAGGAGTAGCGCGCTACGACATCGTCATACAAGGACTTAGCAGTCTTGTACTGGCCAAAGTGCGCGCGCTCAGCAGACGGCAGGTGACTACGAACAGCAAGGCGAGCAACAGCGTCACGAGTGGACCACTGCGAGCGAACCGTACTGTCAGCAGTGGCAGCAGGTGCAGGAGAGAGTCCGGACGTGTGATCGAAAAGGCGTACTCCGTCCTTAGAGTCACACTGAAGAAAGAGCTGCAGGTCGTCAACCCACACGTCAAAGTCAACCGCACGCCCCTCAGCATCAAAGGTAAGAACATTAGGGCTAGCCATAGCGGTAGTAGCAGCAGTAGCAGCAGTGGCAGCAGAAGCAGCAGTAGCAGCAGGAGCAGCGTGGGCAGGGCAGTGCGGCTCAGTAGGGCGGCGCGGCTCGGCAGGGCGGCGCGGCTCGGTAGGGCGGCGCGGCTCGGCTGGGCGGCGCGGCTCGGCTCCTGGCGGCGCGGCGCGGCAGGGTGGCGCAGCTCGGCTGGGCGGCGCGGGTGCTTACCAGAGGCGGGTGCAGGGCAGGGCCGCAGTTGGCGGTTAGGTCAGGGCCGCGACTGGGGCGGAAGCAGGGCAGGGCCGCGACTTGGCGGCGGTAGAGCAGGGCCGCGAGTGGGGCGGCTGAAGGGCAGGGCCGCGACGCGTCGGCGGCAGCGCAGGGCCGCGACAGGGCGGCAGCAGGGCAGGGCCGCGGCTGGACGGCAGGGTAGGGCAGGGCCGCGACGAGCAGCGGCAGGGCAGAGGCCGCAGCGGGCAGTAGGGTCGGGGCCGCAACGAGAGGCGGCAGGGTAGGGCCGCGACAGGCGGCTAGGGTAGGCCGCGACGGGCGGCAAGGCAGGGCCGCAGGTGGCAGCAGGGCAGGGCCGCGACTAGGCGGCTAGGTCAGGGCCGCGACTAGGCGGCAGGGCAGGGCCGCGACGGGCCGAGAAAGTAGGGGGCCGCGACGGGCCGTTAGGGCAGGGCCGCGACGGGCCGAGAAGGCAGGGCCGCGACGGGCGGCACTAGGGCAGGGCGCGCGACGGCGCAAGTGAGGCAGGCGCTAGGCGCACTTCGGGCAGGTCAGAAAAAAAGTTATCGTGGTGGGCCCTAACAAAAAACGTTCCCACGAGGGAACCTGCTCAAAATACCATGTCAGAATAGTGAAGGAAGGAATGACTGAACTAGCAATCAGGTGGGTACAAATAGGAAACCTAAAAGTGTTGTACCCTATATGAACTACCCCACTACAGCCTAGACAGACTATAGTGTATGAGTTTGACACAACGGTGAATTGGTCTGTTCATTGCCTGATGAACGGTAAACGACGCAACAACCAATCAGCTAACTTCTAAAAAAACTAAAACCAAATCGGAATCGGATGCGGTTTGGGAACGGATCAACCTTGAACACCTGGCGAGTTGTGTTTAGGGTTGATTCATCCAAAAATGCATCCAGGTTCGTTTTGGGTATTATCTTTTTTTGCGCGGGAGTTTCATACCATTGTGACTGATTCCGTGAAAACACGTTATTTTTTACCAAACGCTATTTTCCCTTTCTTGTTCACACCGTGGATGAACGAGGCTTGTGGTGAGCAGAATACAGTTCATTTACGAATGAGGCTAAACAAATCAGCATTGATATATTGCACGTTAGAAATGAACGTATTATCAAAGTTACGAGGATGTCAGAGTAGTTAGACCAGTACCTGCAACCTTGGGAGTTTCCATGTCAGATAAGGTTAATAGTTCATGCCCTCGTGGATGCACAAGATAGTGCAATAAGGACGGCATGGTACCTGCGGTTCGGCCCACCTCACGTGTCACACATGCCCCCTTCAGTCACGTGTCACACAGCACACCATCCCCCTCCTCCACCCCTTTCCAGCTTCCTCCAATGCACGCCTAAAAGCGTGATTCCCCACTGTCAGGGATTTTGATACCCACTACCAAGGAATTTCGACGGCAGCACAAGATCGAACGGCCACGAGAGCATCTCTCCAAACCGCAGATCCTGCTGATGGCCCTCCCACAGTCCACTAGGGCTACCCCCGTCCTCCTCACCACTCCCATTCCCACCATCCCTACCTACCCCACCACCACCTCCTCCACTAACCCCCCCTCCTACCACAACCCCAACATTCCCCCCTTCCCCTTGCCCATTTCCCCCTAACGAACTCCCCTCTCCGCCCACTCCCATCCCCCCACCCCCTCCACTACCCCCAGCACCACCCCCCCCTCCCCATACATTCTCCCCCCCAGCTGCCGCCCTCCCTCTCCCAGCCCTTCCAGCCATCCACCGCTTCACCTTCGCCAGCTCCTCTCTGCTCCTCGCAGCCTCCCTCTCCCTTGCCTTGGCTGCAGCTCTCGCCTCCCGCGCTTCATCTCTCAGCGCTTCCACCTCTTCAGCCAGCTGAATCAGCGTTTTCTGCTTCGCCTCGGCAAACGCGGCTGATTCTTCCGCGTGGCGTTTGTCGCCGTGTGCCGCATGCACCACCCGCATGCTCAGCTTTTCCGTCCGGGCCTTCGCTGCTCGTAACTGAAGCGTCAGCTCCTCGTGCCGAGCCTCCAGGTCCGTTATCCGAGCCTCGGCTTCCCTTGCCCGAGCCTCGGCTTCTGCTGCCCGAGCCTCAGCTTTGGCGATCTGGCCAGCATCAGCCCCTGAAGACCGGAACATCCGAGCCTCAGCCTCAGCTTTCGTTTCAGCTCTGGATGCCCGAGCCGTGGCCTCGGCGACCCGACGCTCAGCCTCGGCGGCTCGGCGCTCAGCCTCGGAAATAGCCCCGCGGGCAGCGTCGGCACTGGCTCGGGCAGCAGCAGCTTCGGATTGGGACCTCTCAAGCTCGCTCTCTAACCTTGCTGCCTTCTCCTCCGTTCGACGCAGCCTCTCCTCTGTAACCCACAATTCCCTCTCCAAAATCTCAATCCGCGCCCGCATCTGCACCCATTCCGCTTCCGCAGCTCCTGCTGCTGCTTCGGCCCGTGCAGCCTCGGCAGCTCCCGAACCAGCTGCCTTGGCGGCTTCCTCCGCCTGCTTCCGCGCCCGAGCCTCCGAGCCAGGCTTGGCAGGGCTGTTAAGAGGCGTAACTTCCTGTACCCCTGCCCCTGCCCCCACCCCTGCCCCTGCGCCTCCTCCTGCCCCAGCGCGTACCCCTCCTTGTCGTCGCAGCTCCTCCAGTTCTCGTTTGATCAGAGACGCCTCCTCCTCCTGCTTCACCAGCATCGTCTGCAAGAAGCGGACGAGCGTCTTCAGCCCGCGGTTCTCCTTATTGAGTTGCTCTATAAGCTGACCGTTACTGTTCCCTTCCACCACCACCCCTGCCCCTCCGCTCACCAGTCCCTGCTCCCACTTGCCCTTCTGCTCACTTCCCACTCCTACGCCTCCGCCGCCTCCCCCTCCCTTCCCTTCCACTGCCCCTGCCGACGATACCCCCCCACCACTGCCGCCTGAAAGGTACTCAGGGCACCAAATGAGGCTGCTCCCGCTGCTGTTGCCGCCGCTGCTGTTCCCGCTGCTGCTGATGCTGCTGCTGCCCATGCTGCCGTGAGTGATGATGCTGCTGCCGCTCGTCGTGCTACAGCCGCTACAGCCGCTCAGCACGCTGCTGTTGCTGCCGCGCATTCCAATCGTGCGCTCCAGCGGCCGGCACGCCAGCTCCAGCAAACTACGAGAAACACCTTCGCCAGGGTTATTTACCCTGGAAATTCCTGCCTCATATGCACTCACTGGGGAATATCCCGCTGCAGCTGAACCAGCAACCTTGTGGCCGCAAGGGGAACTTACGGTACTAGCCATCCTATATGTATATCCCCCATCTTCTGCCCTCTCCCCTCCGCCCTGCCGCCCCTTCTCCGCCTCTCTCCTCTCCCTTTCCCCCAAAATGCTCCGCAAGACACTTTCTTCCGCCCGCCTCCTCCCTTCCTCCGCCTTCCGCCGCCCCTCTTCCGCCTGAAACCTCCCCTCTTCCGCCACCTTCTTCCCCGCCTCGGCAACCTCCTTCGCTGACTCAGCAGCCACTCTCGCTGACTCAGCAGCGTCTCTTGCTGACTGGGCTGCTGCCAATGCTGCCTCCGCCGTCACGACATCCGCGTTAAGAGCCTCTATTCGCGCCTCTGCTTCTTTGAGCGACTTTCGCAACCGCTCGTTCTCCTGCCGCAGCAGCACTAGAAGCGAATCCATGGGGCCCTTACCCCCAGATAAACCTCCCCCAGTAGCCCCTTCACCAACACCGCCGCCTGCCGCCGGGCTTCCCACCTCCGAGCCTACGACCGAACCGCCGCCGGGGCTGCGTAGGTTGCCGAGCCTGGTTGCTCCGGGCCGAGCCAGCCTGGGGGAGGCGTTGCTGGCCGGGCTACTGCCGCCGAACCCGCCGCAGCTGCAGGCTTCACCCTCCTTCCTCTCCGCCCCGCCCTCCTGCGTTTTCACCTGCGACTCGGCTTGCCGTTGCCAGTGCCTGATCTCCCTACAGGCAAGCTCCAGATCTCTCCTCATCTGTTCGTTTCTCCTGACCACCACCGCAAGCTCCGCTTTCAGCGCCTGCGCCGCGTCCCCATCTCCCGCCGTTCCGCCCACACGGAGGCTATCCGCGCCCGTTCCGCCGCCTCCGCCTCCGCGCGAGAGAGCCGCAGCGTCCAGCCGCTTCTGCAGGCCCTCGTTTCTCCCCTTAGCTTCCGCCAGCTCCCCCAGAAGCTCCGCGTTCTCCTCCCGCGCTTCCGCCAGCTCTTTCTGAGTTTGCGCGCCTTTGGCGGCCAGCGCGCGGACCTGCTCCCGCTGTTCCGCGCATTCCTCCAGCGCTCTCCGCAGCTCCGCCTGCGCCGCCTGCGCCGCCTCCTCCAGCGGCCGGAGCTCCGCGTTTGCGCTTGCCAACTGGCGCACCTCCCCGCGCAGCCTCCCGTTCTCAAGCGCCAAGTCCGCCGCGCGTTCCTGCTCCTTCACCAGCCGCGCGCGCATCTCTTCCGCACTTGCGCGCAACTCCACCATCTGCGCATTCGTTGCTTTAAAACTTTCCTCCGCCTTCCGCCTCTCCGCCTCCGCTGCGCGCAGCCCGTCTTCCAACTCGCGGCTTTCCGCCAGAGCGGAGCCCAACCTTTCCCGGGAAAGCTCCGCCCCTCCCCGGAGGGCGTCGTTCTCCGCGCGGAGCATCCGCGCATCATCTTGCGCCGATTGCAGCTGCGCTTGCCACTGCTCCCGCTGCTGGCGCATCTCCGCCTGCCACCGCTCCTGAAGCTCCCGCTCCTGCGCCTCAAGGTGCACTTTCCGCCGAGCTTCATTCTCCCGCCGCTCCGCCTCCGCATCCCGCCGTTGCGCCTCCAGTTCCCGCCGCTGCCCCTCAAACTTTCCCTCAAGCTCCCGCACGTCTTCCCAGGCGGACTGGAGCCCGCGGCGCAACTCCGCGCACTCGTCTTGCGCGGCGGAAGCTTCGTTTTGCGCCCGGCGAAGCTGCTCCTGAAGATCCTCCACTATCGAGTCAACTCTTACCGCTTCCTTCGCCACGATACGCGTCTGCTCCATCGCAGATGCCACTGTGGACGAACTCGAAGAAGCCACTAACGAGGATGGAGTCCCTGGTCGCTGCTCCGATTTAAGAATCCCGCTGTTGCTTATCGTTCTCCGATGGTAATCCAGGCCGGCTTTCCCATACTCCTCCGCAACCTCGCTAACCACCACGCTACTCGACCTCCCGACACCATCCCGTTCCAAATCCTTCCACTTCACCTGCCGACTAGCCCTCGCCTTATCGCTCAAATATGCTGCTGTCGTCGTCTTGTCGTTCAGAAGAGCGGGAAGAACCTCCTGGTGAATCACACTCGATAAAAGGTGCACCGACGCGCTCGTCTGCGTCCGCAATGGCAGCGACGCCGCGTCGCTCAATCTGTCGCTCAACCTGTCGCCTAACCTATCGCCGTACGTGTCGCCTAACCTGTCGCCGAGTCTGTCACCGACACGTGTTGCTTCTCTATCTCCGGACCGGGGTGTAGTCGGTCTGCTTCCATACCTGTCGCTTAGTCTGTCGGCTAGACTGTCGCCCAACCTGTCGCTAAACCTGTCGCCGTGCCTGTCGCTATAACGATCGTAGTCGTCGCCGGACGTAAAACTAGCGGCTGGATTGGGCGTTAACGATTGAGTTCGAGACATTTGATTCGCCGATGCCCAGTGCTGGTTGCGAAGGCGCTCAATGATCCCGTTTATGTCGTCTTCGTGCATCGGCTCGTCGTCTTCATCCAACGGCCGGCTGCCGCTGGATGCAGAAGATCCTGACCGTCGCATGGTGGGTGAAGGAGAGTCTAATCTTGCGATGTGAAGGGAATGATGTTAAGTCTGTTACAGATTGAAGGGAAGTTTGGGACTAATAGAGGAGACGTCGCCGACGGTTCTAACAAAGAGCAGGTCGCATGATATGGAGCAATAAATACACATTTTAGCTACCTCGGACTTAAATTACCTACTGCTAATATGCTTAAGACCGCCACGCGTTGCGTACACTCGAACTGGAAGACAAGGTCTATCAGTGAAGCTGGCCGCAAACTCGAACAAAGCAACTGCAACACAAGTCCCAGGAAGGTAAGAACCCTTCGGCTGTGTGCAGTGTGGTGGTGTTTTACCTGGACCGCCGCTGCTGTGCCCTCCACAGTTTGGCAAGTTAGCAGCAGGAACCCAAGGGATGAAGCAGCCACTGAGTACTCCACACGGGTTCCAGCACTCATACAGACTATGAACCGCTTTGCTTATAGTCAAAACGTCTCAAAACGCGATAGAACGTAATCAACCGTACCAAACGAGGGGAAGCCATCTGCGAGCTCCAATGTTGAAGCAGTAGATCCAACCAACCCCAAGACTGCCAGCCATGCAGGGTCTCACTGTAGGGGCGGAGTGAAAAGGGGCAAAGGGAGGGGGAAAATGGGGATTGGGGGGAAATAGGGACCACGAGAGGGGGGAAACTTCTGGGGTTTGGGTGGATGTGCGGGTGCAAGCGAGGAAAGGGGGATCCAGGAATGCTGGTTAAAGGGGGGAATGTAAGGGGAAGGGGGGCGGAAAGGGCCAATGCGGGGAAGGGGGGACGAGCCTGACTGAAAACTTCTCTTTTTCCTCAAGGCCCGTCCAACCAACGAGTCTGTGACTGTGACTGAAAATTTGGCGGAAACGAGGGGCCAGCCGAAGCGCCCCCGGGTTTCAACCAGCATGGCGCGCAGCTCTGCTAAAAAGATCAGAGGGTGACTTGTGACATAATTGGCCAAGAGACTGACACACGAAGCCACGACTCGACTCTCCCGCTTTCGCAAAATTGCGGCGAACAAGGGCGAATGACCGTGCAGTCGCTGACGGGTTGATGTGTGACGGTTGACCGTCTGGCCGCAATGTGCATGACGACCTCGATGTAACTACCTCAACACGTGGCAGCCTTTTTGCTTGTGGCTGATTGACATCCGCGATTCAGGACATCCTCCACCGTAGGTAGCGGAGGCCTTGCAGCACAAAGATGAGCGTGAACTTTATATGTTTAAGATTTATAGAACACATGATCACAAACAAGGAACAATAATAAATATAATTAAGTACTGTCACCAACATTTACCAGTAGTTAACCTCAATTAGCAGCCCTATAACATGGGCACTACATCCACATATCCTGTGGGTTAGCAAATGTAAGTCACTCAACAGGGAGTTGAGAGCTTCTCGATTGGCTCCTTTATCTCAAACCAAGGTCGTTCGCAGTTCAGCCCACCAGTACCAGCTATAAGGCACCTAAAGAACATCCTCATTCCAGTTCACACCCACAACTGCACTGAACCACGACTGACATACAGACTAGAGACATCACTTTTCACAAGAAGCTCCACAGGACCATGCACCACACCTCCTGCACCTAGCCCCACCCCACCCCACCGCACCGCACACCCCTCCCACCCCACCCTTTTTATTTCCCTTGGTTATCCCCATCTCTTAAATCTAAACCTCCTAGCCCTCGACACCCTCATATGGTACCTTGCCCCATGTCTTGCCTCTAAGGCTTGCCTCGCCACACGCCTTCACCACTCCAGGTTGCCCGGCCACCACTTCCCATGCCTCTTAACCCCTGCACACATTGCTTCAACCCCGCCTTGAACCACAATGGGCTGCACAGGCGGCACGCTGCGCAGCACACCTCATGCCCGCCGCCCTTCCCTCGAAACATCCATTCTCGTCCCCGTCCCTAACCTTGCACTGTTTTTGAGTCGACTCAAAAGCCAGCACGCTGCGCAGCACACCTCATGCCCGCCGCCCTTCCCTTGAATCATCCATTCTCGTCCCCGTCCCTAACCTTGCACTGTTTTTGAGTCGACTCAAAAGCCAGCACGCGGCGCAGCACACCTCATGCCCGCCGCCCTTCCCTCGAATCATCCATTCTCGTCCCCGTCCCTAACCTTGCACTGTTTTTGAGTTGACTCAAAAGCCAGCACGCGGCGCAGCACACCTCATGCACGCCGCCCTTCCCTCGAATCATCCATTCCTGTCCCTCTCATCCCCATCCCTCACCTTGCACTGTTCAGAGCCCTTGCTTCACAGCATCTTCTTTATCCATCAAGGAGATTTCTTCACAATCGGCTGCGCAGCGCACCTCATGCCCGCCGGCCTTCCAAGTGATGCTCCCAAACGTGAACTTGTGCTGCACGGCCAGCACGCACTGCACCTCATCCGCATCCCTCACCTTGCACGGCCAGCACGCACTGCACCTCATCCGCATCCCTCACCTTGCACGGCCAGCACGCACTGCACCTCATGGCCCGCCGGCCTTCCCCTGAATCAGCCATTCCTGTGCCCCTCATCCGCATCCCTCACCAAGCACTGCTCTGGGCCCTTGCATCACAGCATCCCCCTTATCCCTCAAGGCCCTTGCATCACAGCATCCCCCTTATCCCTCAAGGCCCTTGCACCACAGCATCCCCCTTATCCCTCAAGGCCCTTGCACCACAGCATCCCCCTTATCCCTCAAGGCCCTTGCATCACAGCATCCCCCTTATCCCTCAAGGCCCTTGCATCACAGCATCCCCCTTATCCCTCAAGGCCCTTGCATCACAGCATCCCCCTTATCCCTCAAGGCCCTTGCATCACAGCATCCCCCTTATCCCTCAAGGCCCTTGCATCACAGCATCCCCCTTATCCCTCAAGGCCCTTGCACCACAGCATCCCCCTTATCCCTCAAGGCCCTTGCATCACAGCATCCCCCTTATCCCTCAAGGCCCTTGCATCACAGCATCCCCCTTATCCCTCAAGGCCCTTGCACCACAGCATCCCCCTTATCCCTCAAGGCCCTTGCCCCATGCCCCATGCCCCATGCCCCATGCAGGTGAAGGTACTGTCAGCCCCTCGAGGGGGCACACCATCCTCCCCCTCGAGCCGTCCCGCCTGTACTGTCAGCCCCTAACCCTCACGTCAATCCTCTACTTTTCCTGGCCCTCCCTTGAGAACTTCCCCTCCAACCATCGGGCCCTCCCTTGAGAACTTCCCCTCCAACCAACGGGCCCTCCCTTGAGAACTTCCCCTCCAACCAACGGGCCCTCATGACAATTTCTTCACAATCGGCTGCACCACGGCCACCACGCTCCGCACCTCATGAACACCGTCCTTCCACGTGATGCTCCCAAAGTGAACTTGGTCTGCTGCACGGCCGTTGACATTGACCACGCCCACTGCCCCGCCTTCACACCCCTCCCTCAATCATCCCAGCCCCTCACCCTAACCCCTGACCCTAGCCCTAGTATTGTTAAGGCCCTCACGTCACCCTCCTCACTTGGATTTGACCTCAATGGGTTGCACAGCCAGAACACTCCGCACCTCATGAACACCATCCTTCCACGTGATGCTCCCGAACGTAAAGTTCTTCTGAATCGCCTTCGGAACAATCGTCACATTATACGCCGCCCGCTGCCCGGGCCTCAGAGTCAGCTTCGACGGAGTCACCGACACGCTCACCCCATCGGGCTTCACCAGGTAGAGCTTATACGTCGACGTTTTAAACTCCACGTTCGTAACCCACCGCGTCACGTTCAGAGTTTTTTTTATCCTGCCTATCGCAATATTCGGCTGGTTCAGATTGTACGTCTCGATAGGGGAGAACGCCGCTGCCGGAAAAGCCGCCTTGGCCTTTTTCTCGTCCAATCCCGCGAGGAAATTAATGTAGTTTGTCGCCCGGACGTCGTAAACTAGCCCCGGATTTATCGATTTTCCCGGGGTAATATGCCCGGAGCCGAACTGCCACGGGGAGGCATACGTCCAGTCCCACGAGCGAATCCCCTTCCCCCACATATCCTTCACCGAAGCAGTTGTCATGATTGCGGATTTCACCATTCCCGGGGTCCACCGGGGGTACTTCTGAATCAGCAAAGCTGCCACGCCCGCAGCGACGGAAGCAGCAGCAGACGTGCCACTGTCGAGCTTGAAACCGGGGGAAGCGGCGTTGCCGGCGTTGGTAGAGGAGAGGAGGGCGAGGCCGGGGGCGGTGATGTCGGGTTTGAGGATTTCGTTGGTGACGGTGGGATTCTTGGGCATGGAGATCCAGGGGTCGAGGGGCGGGCCTGAGGAGGAGAAGTAGGCCATCACTGGCGCGAGCGTGCCCTTGGGGAGGGTGTAGAGTATGGGGGAGATTGACACCGTTGGCCTGGAGGGACAGGGGAGGGGATGGGAGGGGAAGCGGAGAGAGGAAGAGGGAAAAGGGTAAGCGGATGGGGGATAGAAGGAGAGAGGGAGTTGGTGGAGGAGAGGAGGGCGAGACCGGGGGCGGTGATGTCTGGTTTGACCAAGTCACTCTGCACCACCAGCAGCAAAGCCTTGCCATCCCTGCCTGGTGTCGGCCTTGCTAGTCCCTTACTTGGTGTTGCTGTTGTTGTGACTTTGAGTCGACTCAAAAGTTGCTCTGCACCACCAGCAGCAAAGCCTTGCTATCCCTGCTGTGGGCCTACCTCATCACTTAACAAGGCTTACTTGGTGTTGCTGTCGTTCTTCAGATAGTCCTTAATCGCTTGAGAGATGGTCATGCCAAACGTCACCCTGGGGAACGAGCCAGTCACGGACTGCACGTACTGCCGCGGGCTCTGCACCACCAGCAGGAGCAGCTTTGCCAGCAGCACCGCCAGCAGCACCGCCAGTAGCAGCAGTGCCATGCTGTACCCATTGTCTTACTTGGTATTAGAGTCGTTCTTCAAGTAATCCTTGAAAGCTTGCGAGATGGTCATGCCAAAAGTCACCCCCGGAAACGCCCCGGTCACCGATCGCACGTACTGCCGTGGGCTCTGCACCACCAGCAGCACCGCCTTGCCGCCAGCTGTCTGCACTGTCAGCGCCTTCTCCTCCAATGACACGCCGCCGTGCCAGCACAGCACTGCGGCTCCAATGACCTTGGCTGGGTCTAGGGTACCCATTCTGCACTGCTCCGCCTGTAGAGGGCAAGAAGGAGGAGGTATAGGAAAGGGGGAGAATAGAGTCAGCGCCTTCTCCTCCAATGACGCCGCCGTGCCAGCACAGCACGGCTGCTCGGATGACCTTGGCTGAGTCAAGCGTGCCCACGCAGCACTGCTCCGCCTGATGTGGTGGGTGAAGGGGTGGGGAGAAGAGGGAGGGGGGAAGGGAATGGGGCAGCGTGCCAGCACAGCACAGCTGCCCCCATCACCTTGGCTGGGTCAAGCGTGCCCATGCGGCACTGCTGCGCCTGTAAGGGAAGAAGGAAGTATAGAAAGGGGGGAATGGAATCAGCGCCTTTTGAGACGAAAGGGGGGAATGGAATCAGCGCCTTTTGAGACGAAAGGGGGGAATGGAATCAGCGCCTTTTGAGACGAAAGGTAACGTCTAAGCTCTGCGCGAATGAAAGACTCCTTGCAGTGTCGTGGGTGAAAGGAAGCGAAGGGCAAGTAGAGCTACTTGTTCATCGGCTTCTGGTATGTGCCAAAGTCCAAAGTACCCCGCTCCTTAAAACGCGGCCCCTTGAAAAGAACAGCGTCAAGAAAATCTATGGAGCGATCCGAGATAGACCATGTGATCCTAATGTCAGGATCAAGCGCGTTGAAGGTTTGCAGGTAGGCTTCCAGTTCTGCCCGCGTCCCTGGCCAGATGATTAGCCCGTCGTCGATGTAGCGCGCATGGTAAAGAGGAGATTTCCAGGTCCACTTCTCCTTCAGAAGCTCGTCCAGACGGCTCATAAACAGGACCGCGAAGCAAACGGCTACAGGTGTCCCCATAGCTGTCACCTGTAGGTGCAGACCGCGAAGCAAACGGCTACAGGTGTCCCCATAGCTGTCACCTGTAGGTGCAGACCGCGAAGCAAACGGCTACAGGTGTCCCCATAGCTGTCACCTGTAGGTGCAGACCGCGAAGCAAACGACTACAGGTGTCCCCATAGCTGTTCCTCGTACTTGATGATAGGTCCGGCCGTTGAATTCCACGAAAGAATTCCTCATGACCCAGCCCAGCATGGCCATGAGAGGTGGGGCGAGCTGTGGTTTTTCCCTCATCAGAAAACTGTTGACCGCATCAACCAGGAGTCTTTCATTCGCGCAGAGCTTAGACGTTACCTTCTTCGCTCAACCTCAGCTGCGACTTTCCTCGCAACGAAGCGGTCTTTCTTCCTCCGCCTGTGTTTCTGCACCCCATCTTCAAAAGTGTCATCTTCGCTCATCGTTCAGAACTTCTCGCCAACACCATCGCCAACCAAGCGCTCCGCCAACAGACAACTCTCCCTTCCCGTGGGCCCCTAGTCTTGAAGACCCAGTACACTCTTGTCACTGCACATCTCGGGCTGGGGGTCCTTTTGAGTCGACTCAAAAATCGCCTCTTCACACACGGATTATATGTGGAGAGAATGTTTTTTGCGAGGAAAATTGGTTGTAACCTGCAGCGGTTACTGGTGCGCGCGCGACTTCCGAAGTTGCCCCGTGGCGAAAATCTGAACCCAACCCCTCACGCCGACACTTCCGAGGAATTTGAAGACGTGGCTGCCTGAAGTTTTCGAAGGTGGTCTGGATTGGTCCCCGAAATTTGGGTGACCTGGGTGTGGATAACCTAGAGCTCGCTTTCTTAGAGGTTTTGTTTCTTTTTAGAGGCATTGCTTAGCCCTTCTTTTCCATTGTTGGCACTGATGAAGGTCTGATCGGGTTTTCCCCCGTGATAGGCCGAAACATGTTATCATAAAATTAAGCCTTCTACTGCTGTTTTTCCTTTGCTTTAAGCCTCCTGCACGCACGCAGCTCACTGAGCTATGTCTGGATCTCGCATGGAATCAGCGCCTTCTCCCACAATGGCACACCACCATGCCAGCACAGCATGGCTGCTCCAATCGGGGCAGGCAAGAGGGGGGTGTGGTGAGTGGGGATGAGGATTGGGGAGCAGGACAGTCAAAAGTCGAGTCCCGGTGCCCATGGCCCCCTATGCTTGCACACCCCAAGGCATCCGATTTCCGGTAATCTTAAGTTTCCCCCCTCACCTCCTCAGCTTTTCCCCCTCACCTCCTCAGCTTTTCCCCCTCACCTCCTCAGCTTTTCCCCCTCACCTCCTCAGCTTTTCCCCCTCACCTCCTCAGCTTTTCCCCCTCACCTCCTCAGCTTTTCCCCCTCACCTCCTCAGCTTTTCCCCCTCACCTCCTGGGGCAGAGCCTTGGGCGTGCCAGCCATCTTGGCATCAACAAGAGGGAGGTTGGTGGTGGTCCTGAGGTCGCCCCCTTGCTGTGTGATCCCCGTGTACCACTTCCCGTCGCCCAGCGTGACCTTGGCTTGCCACTCCCGCGGAACGCCACTGGAATAGAAAGAGGGGGGTTGGGGAGTGTGGAGGAAGGAGGAAAAGAAGGGTGGTGAGTCGCATAAAAAGCAATGCTATTGCTGCACCCAAACTGCACTCACACTGCACTCACACTGCACTCACACTGCACTCACACTGCACTCACACTGCACTCACACTGCACTCACACTGCACTCACACTGCACTCACACTGCACTCACACTGCACTCACACTGCACTCACACTGCACTCACACTGCACTCACACTGCACTCACACTGCACTCACACTGCACTCAGACTGCACTCAGACTGACACTGCACTCACACTGCACTCACACTGCACTCACACTGCACTCACACTGCACTCACACTGCACTCACACTGCACTCACACTGCACTCACACTGCACTCACACTGCACTCACACTGCACTCACACTGCACTCACACTGCACTCACACTGCACTCACACTGCACTCACACTGCACTCACACTGCACTCACACTGCACTCACACTGCACTCACACTGCACTCACACTGCACTCACACTGCACTCACACTGCACTCACACTGCACTCACACTGCACTCACACTGCACTCACACTGCACTCACACTGCACTCACACTGCACTCACACTGCACTCACACTGCACTCACACTGCACTCACACTGCACTCACACTGCACTCACACTGCACTCACACTGCACTCACACTGCACTCACACTGCACTCACACTGCACTCACACTGCACTCACACTGCACTCACACTGCACTCACACTGCACTCACACTGCACTCACACTGCACTCACACTTGCACTCACACTGCACTCACACTGCACTCACACTGCACTCACACTGCACTCACACTGCACTCACACTGCACTCACACTGCACTCACACTGCACTCACACTGCACTCACACTGCACTCACACTGCACTCACACTGCACTCACACTGCACTCACACTGCACTCACACCTGCACTCACACTGCACTCACACTGCACTCACACTGCACTCACACTGCACTCACCACTGCACTCACACTGCACTCACACTGCACTCACACTGCACTCACACTGCACTCACACTGCACTCACACTGCACTCACACTGCACTCACACTGCACTCACACTGCACTCACACTGCACTCACACTGCACTCACACTGCACTCACACTGCACTCACACTGCACTCACACTGCACTCACACTGCACTCACACTGCACTCACACTGCACTCACACTGCACTCACACTGCACTCACACTGCACTCACACTGCACTCACACTGCACTCACACTGCACTCACACTGCACTCACACTGCACTCACACTGCACTCACACTGCACTCACACTGCACTCACACTGCACTCACACTGCACTCACACTGCACTCACACTGCACTCACACTGCACTCACACTGCACTCACACTGCACTCACACTGCACTCACACTGCACTCACACTGCACTCACACTGCACTCACACTGCACTCACACTGCACTCACACTGCACTCACACTGCACTCACACTGCACTCACACTGCACTCACACTGCACTCACACTGCACTCACACTGCACTCACACTGCACTCACACTGCACTCACACTGCACTCACACTGCACTCACACTGCACTCACACTGCACTCACACTGCACTCACACTGCACTCACACTGCACTCACACTGCACTCACACTGCACTCACACTGCACTCACACTGCACTCACACTGCACTCACACTGCACTCACACTGCACTCACACTGCACTCACACTGCACTCACACTGCACTCACACTGCACTCACACTGCACTCACACTGCACTCACACTGCACTCACACTGCACTCACACTGCACTCACACTGCACTCACACTGCACTCACACTGCACTCACACTGCACTCACACTGCACTCACACTGCACTCACACTGCACTCACACTGCACTCACACTGCACTCACACTGCACTCACACTGCACTCACACTGCACTCACACTGCACTCACACTGCACTCACACTGCACTCACACTGCACCTCACACTGCACTCACACCTGCACTCACACTGCACTCACACTGCACTCACACTGCACTCACACTGCACTCACACTGCACTCACACTGCACTCACACTGCACTCACACTGCACTCACACTGCACTCACACTGCACTCACACTTGCACTCACACTGCACTTCACACTGCCCTCACACTGCACTCACACTGCACTCACACTGCACTCACACTGCACTCACACTGCACTCACACTGCACTCACACTGCACTCACACTGCACTCACACTGCACTCACACTGCACTCACACTGCACTCACACTGCACTCACACTGCACTCACACTGCACTCACACTGCACTCACACTGCACTCACACTGCACTCACACTGCACTCACACTGCACTCACACTGCACTCACACTGCACTCACACTGCACTCACACTGCACTCACACTGCACTCACACTGCACTCACACTGCACTCACACTGCACTCACACTGCACTCACACTGCACTCACACTGCACTCACACTGCACTCACACTGCACTCACACTGCACTCACACTGCACTCACACTGCACTCACACTGCACTCACACTGCACTCACACTGCACTCACACTGCACTCACACTGCACTCACACTGCACTCACACTGCACTCACACTGCACTCACACTGCACTCACACTGCACTCACACTGCACTCACACTGCACTCACACTGCACTCACACTGCACTCACACTGCACTCACACTGCACTCACACTGCACTCACACTGCACTCACACTGCACTCACACTGCACTCACACTGCACTCACACATGCACTCACACTGCACTCACACTGCACTCACACTGCACTCACACTGCACTCACACTGCACTCACACTGCACTCACACTGCACTCACACTGCACTCACACTGCACTCACACTGCACTCACACTGCACTCACACTGCACTCACACTGCACTCACACTGCACTCACACTGCACTCACACTGCACTCACACTGCACTCACACTGCACTCACACTGCACTCACACTGCACTCACACTGCACTCACACTGCACTCACACTGCACTCACACTGCACTCACACTGCACTCACACTGCACTCACACTGCACTCACACTGCACTCAACTGCACTCACACTGCACTCACACTGCACTCACACTGCACTCACACTGCACTCACACTGCACTCACACTGCACTCACACTGCACTCACACTGCACTCACACTGCACTCACACTGCACTCACACTGCACTCACACTGCACTCACACTGCACTCACACTGCACTCACACTGCACTCACACTGCACTCACACTGCACTCACACTGCACTCACACTGCACTCACACTGCACTCACACTGCACTCACACTGCACTCACACTGCACTCACCACTGCACTCACACTGCACTCACACTGCACTCACACTGCACTCACACTGCACTCACACTGCCACTCACACTGCACTCACACTGCACTCACACTGCACTCACACTGCACTCACACTGCACTCACACTGCACTCACACTGCACTCACACTGCACTCACACTGCACTCACACTGCACTCACACTGCACTCACACTGCACTCACACTGCACTCACACTGCACTCACACTGCACTCACACTGCACTCACACTGCACTCACACTGCACTCACACTGCACTCACACTGCACTCACACTGCACTCACACTGCACTCACACTGCACTCACACTGCACTCACACTGCACTCACACTGCACTCACACTGCACTCACACTGCACTCACACTGCACTCACACTGCACTCACACTGCACTCACACTGCACTCACACTGCACTCACACTGCACTCCACACTGCACTCACACTGCACTCACACTGCAACTCACACTGCACTCACACTGCACTCACACTGCACTCACACTGCACTCACACTGCACTCACACTGCACTCACACTGCACTCACACTGCACTCACACTGCACTCACACTGCACTCACACTGCACTCACACTGCACTCCACACTTGCACTCACACTGCACTCACACTGCACTCACACTGCACTCACACTTGCACTCACACTGCACTCACACTGCACTCACACTGCACTCACACTGCACTCACACTGCACTCACACTGCACTCACACTGCACTCACACTGCACTCACACTGCACTCACACTGCACTCACACTGCACTCACACTGCACTCACACTGGCACTCACACTGCACTCACACTGCACTCACACTGCACTCACACTGCACTCACACTGCACTCACACTGCACTCACACTGCACTCACACTGCACTCACACTGCACTCACACTGCACTCACACTGCACTCACACTGCACTCACACTGCACTCACACTGCACTCACACTGCACTCACACTGCACTCACACTGCACTCACACTGCACTCACACTGCACTCACACTGCACTCACACTGCACTCACACTGCACTCATGTGCTGCCCCCGGTGCCATGCCTTCGTTCCCCGCTGCTGCCACCACAAACACGCCCGCCTGGCGATGGGAGGAGAATAAAAGGGAGACATTGCAGGACGGGGGGAGGCAGTAAAGGTGGTGACGGTGGGTGGGGAAGGAACGGAAAGCGGGTGTGGGTGAGAAGGGGGTGAGGGAGGGGGAAGGAAAGAGGGGTTGAGGGAGGGAAAGGTGGGGGAGAGAGGGAGAGGGAGGGGTGTCAAAGAGCCCTACCTGAACAGCTCGAAGGAGGAATGCGGAGTTGAAGTAAACATCATCGGTACTGCCGATGGGCAGCAACAGCACGTCAACACCGCCCCGTACTGACTGCTGCTCCCACGAGCAGCATGCGGAGGAGGGAGGGAGAAGGGGGAAGAGACGCCAGACCAGAAACCTTACCAGTACCCCTTCTACCTGCACAACTCTGAGCAGGAACGCGGAGTTGAAATAGTCATCATCGGTGCTGCCAATAGGTAACAGCAGCACGTCAACGCCATCCCTCACTGCCTGCTCCACAGCAGCCATCACATCCCCCACGCTGCTCTCCCCAACCCTTACCAGCACGGGATGGGAGGTGGTGGGGAGGAGGGGAACGAAGAGGAGAGAGGAGAGGGGGGAGAAGGGGAGAGGGGGAGACGGAGGGAGAGGGAGGGGAAGATGCCCCTACCTGAACAGCCCTCAAGAGAAAGGCGGAGTTGAAATAGTCATCATCGGTGCTTCCAATGGGCAACAGCAGCACGTCAATGCCATCCCTCACTGCCTGCTCCACAGCAGCCATCACATCCCCCACGCTGCTCTCCCCAACCCTTACCAGCACGGGATGGGAGGTGGTGGGGAGGAGGGGAACGAAGAGGAGAGAGGAGAGGGGGGAGAAGGGGAGAGGGGGAGACGGAGGGAGAGGGAGGGGAAGATGCCCCTACCTGAACAGCCCTCAAGAGAAAGGCGGAGTTGAAATAGTCATCATCGGTGCTTCCAATGGGCAACAGCAGCACGTCAACGCCATCCCGCACTGCCTGCTCCACAGCAGCCATCACATCCCCCACGCTGCTCTCCCCGCCCCACACCGCCTTATACACCGCCACCCTTGCTCGCGGCGCCATGCCGCTCATACGGCCAATCACGCGGCTCCGCGGGCTCATCCTGACCTGTATATTGCTGTTGCCAGCAGCAGCGCCGGCACACCAAGTGCCGTGCCCTGTGCTGTCCCTAGGGGACGCATATTCCCCCTTTGGATACCCTTTGTTTGCCTTGAGGTAAGCCGCCGAGAAGAATTGGGCGGCGATGATTTTGTTATTGCAGGAAGTGGCTTTAAAGTCTTTGGTCGCCGCGCATTTTCCCCGCCAAGTCCTTTTCGGGCGGAGATACCCCCGCCCGGAAAAAGCGGGGTGCTCCGGCCAAATACCCGAGTCCACCACGCCTATAATCACGTTTTCCCCCGCGCGGTTCGCCCCGCCAAGACCTTTCCAGACAACAGAGGTGAGGTTGAGAAAGGCGGGTGTGATTGTAGTGAGGGGAGCGAGCGATCTCGACGGCTCGATTCGATCGACGGCCGGGTGGTGCTTAAGCCGATGTAGCTGGGAGGGTGTGAGCGAGACGCAAAACGCGTTACTTAGGTAAGTGTAGGAGTAAAGAAGATCGGACGAGGAGAGGCCGATGCTGGCGATGGTGTGGGAATGGAGAGACGCGAGCTGCTGTGAGTAAGCTACCACGTGAGAGGCTTTAGGATCGGGCCTTGCCGGATCTTTTGTGGGATTTTGTTCTGTGGTCCCCACTGCTGCCACGTCAGCATCAGCGTCGGCGGTGGCGGCGGCAGAGGCAGTGGCTTCAAAGCCGGGAACGCCGCCGGTGTAACTGACAATGGGTGGTAACCCTCTCATGTATACAGTGTACACTTGGTTACTGTAGCTCCTCCTGCCGTCACTGCCACTACTGCTCCTGCTGCTGCTGCTGCTCCCACTGTCTCCTCTGCTTTCACTGTCCCCACTGTCCCCACTGTCCCCACTGTCCCCACTGCTCCCACTGCTCCCACTGCTCCCACTGCTCCCACTGCTCCCACTGCTCCCACTGCTCCCACTGCTCCCACCAGTAATTATTCCGAAATCCTCCTGCTGTTGCTTCAGTCGCAAGTCAGCATCTGACGAAGCTTCCTCTGGAGCAACAGAAGCTGCCGTGGCGAGGTGGGACGAGTAGGGCGCTGACGTGGCAGGGGAGTCCGAGAAGGAGTCCGATGCTGACATGGCAAAAGGGGAGTCCTGGGGTTCATGGAATCTCGCGTGGTGCAGCCAAAGGGGGAGCGGGTCGGCGCCGCTCAGATCGCTGGCGGCGTGCACACGAGGCGCGTGGGCTGACGCAAAACCGGAGGGGGCGGGGCGGACGGGTTTGGGTGGTGGGGGTAAAGGGGCGAAGGCGGAATGGTGGGGGAAAGGGGGGGGGGAGGAGGGGACGGGGGGGGGAGAGGGGGAGGGAACGGGAGAAGAGGATATAGGAAGAAAAAGGGAGACGGAATCAGTCAGAGAGCGGTGGTTGACTTATCGCTGTGCAACTCATGGCTGAGTGAGGTGGAAGGAGGTGAAGGGAGGTGAAAGGGGGTGGAGAGAGGTGGAGGGAGTGGGGGGAAGGGGGAGCGGGTGTGTCGTGATGCAAGTCCGGCTGAACCTCTCTCTCATTGAAGCCTCCCATCCCCTTTCTCCCCTCCACCCTTCTTCCTCTCACTTTACTGTCCCTTCCCTCCAGCAGGTGAACTACCCTGACCCTTGTTCCTCCTGACATATGTAATGAGCTTGCTCTCCTTCCCTCCGCGTGTATCAGGCGACCCTGCCCCCTCCCGTGCCTGAGCAGCAGCTCCAGCCGCTCGGGTCACGGGATCCTTAGCCTGAATTAGCACATGCAGCATGAAGGCGAGCGGGCGGAGGAGGATGGGTGCAGCCGAGGAGGCTTTTGAGGCGCCTCAAAAGGAGGCGAGCTCAAGTACGATCGGGCGCAAGGGAAATCGGGAACACGACATGCACGCACACGCACGCACACACACAGAAGGTTACGGGGTGATATGATTTATTGCTTGTAGCGAGGATACGAAGTGGCATCGCGCGACTCACTGGAAGCGACGAGGAGTGCGACGAGCGACAGAAGCAGGCGAGCTGTGCGATCCATGTCGCGCGACCAGTTCTCGAAACTTGAGTTTCGCTCACTAAGCGACGGTGTTCTGATCTCAGCGATGGCCCCTGTGACGAGATTCACTGTGTCCCTTTAAGACGTGGAACAAGAAATTAGTTGCGGTATGCTCCCGGTCCGCCCGAGAAAACTCTGATACAGTGCGGTTATTGCGGCGCGGCAAGTTGCTAGAAGGCGTTCTGGCGAGTGATTGCTCTAATCTTTCGCGTTCGATTTATGAGTCGACTCAAAAAAATGTTTGCGATGAGGAAAGCCGTTGGACAGCTGACTGCTCTAATCTACCGCGCACGCACTAAAGACGATGCGACACGATTCCACGTCGTTTTTCTTGCCGGTTACCATGAGCGGAATCATCCATGTCTCCCATGCTTCCTAAGCCGGTTCGAGGAAAGCAAAAAAAATATGCGGAAAAAAACAAGGTTTTGTGTAGGTCAATTGTAAGTCTACGGCTGCAGCTTTGTCTAATAAGCAGACACGAGTACCGCTCGCATGCGCTAAGCGCGATGGAGCTCAAATGGCGTCTGGGGAAATTAGGTAGAGCAATGTGCCGATTAACTCAGTCGTCAACGACAAACGCGACGGAAGGGAGGCCTGTTACGAGTACGAGCTAAGGGTGACGAAAAAGGGCGAATGGATTGTGTCGAGACACGCGGTGGAACGAATGAAACCCTAAAAACGTTGTCAGATGGAAGAAAGGATAAGTGAGCATGATGTCAAAATCGCGACGAGGGACAACCACTTCAATTTCAATCAGTGCTTGCATAAGCTAAGGGTTCGTCAATTGTTCGTCAATTGTTGCCTCACTCACACCACAGATAACACAGGGGAAGTCAGGTCGTTTTCTCGCGGTTGAAGACGTTTTCACACGGTGAAGAACGGTTTTGAAATTATACCGTTTTGCACCTTGACGTAACGATTCTGACCGCAGGAAACGTACATAAATTGTGCGACGTGACCACGCCCTTCGAGCGAAACGAGTGAGCGGGCTGGTTGGGCAGGTAGGCGACGAGAGGGTCCCATCTGCATTCCACCAGCCATGGCTGAAAGAAACTGGTTGGAGAGGTGCGAGCGAAGTTTCCAGGTCCTAACTAGTCTGTACGTGTCATTACGGTATAAGTGAAATGTTCAGCGAAACGTCAAATCTCGTGTCAATCAGCAACATCATGTGGACATTAGATCTGACACTCGCGGGAAGAGATCGGGTTTGAGGTTCGCTGTGAAGGGGGATCACTTCTTGAAAACACGGACTGAGTAGCCTTGATACGCTGTGGCACGCTTTGGGGAACAAAAACGCCGAATTTCGCTTCCAGCGCTGTCCGCGTCTCGTAAATGTGCCCAAAACACAAGCAGGACCAGCCCCCAACCATGGCAGCAAAATGGCAGCCCTTGGTGGCTGGCCGCTGCCAGCGGCCGTATAGGCAAACTGCAAACCGCGACAATTACCAATTTCGTCGATTCGTTACAGCAGTTGCACGACATTCGCAACCAATTAAGTGATGTGCTTGTAGCGAGCTCACCAATCAGCTTGGTTGGTGAGAGTTTATCTGGAACATGGTAGGCTCCCTCCCAGGTGTGAGGTTTGGCAGTTTCTTGAATGTCCTACACGTTGTGGTTGCATGGCCCAGTGCGAGGCGCAGAGCCCTGGCGAAACAGCCAGCTTTCGAGTGAAAGGTAACTGTCGCCGAGCTAGGTAAAGCTCCACTGCCTCAGTTGAAGTACCTCTTATAGGGTTTCTCAATTTAATGCAGAGTCTGTAATTTTTGTAAAAAAAAATACATGTAGAGTTCTGATAACATCCATTACCTGCTTGAGAAATGCAGAAGAAAGGACACGTTGTAGGAACATAAGTACCGCCTCACGAGGTCAAGTGCCATTATAAAGTGAGGTTGGGCCTGCGTTTCCGCTTTCGGCAGAGAAAAGTAAGGCAGTCTGAAACTACCTTTTTTTTTTTTTTTTTTTTTTTGTCTCAAATGCATCCTTCAGTGTAAAACCATCTTTTTCAGTTTTAAATGAAAGAAAAACGGAAAACGCAGCCTCAAGAACACCCCAGTAGAACAGCACATAAGGAACCCCAAAAGACACCCCAACGAGATACCCCCAACGAGACACCCCAACGAGACACCCCAACGAGACACCCCAACAATACGCCCCATCTAACCAAACCCCCCACCCCCCTCACCTAAACCCACCCTCTAAACCCGCATGTCCACCAAATAGGGCGCATCCGCCCACGGAGCATCCCATCCCTTCTCCTCCTGAAACTACCCATTTTGATGGAAATAACAGCCCACTGGTATTTGTATTAGAATACATATCAGACAGCTATCAGTCCTGCTGACGTGGCAGTGTACAATACATGAATTCCTAAAACACACAAGTCTTCTGAACATCTTATTAGCCTTCTCGCACGGATTTTAAGCCACGGCGGGAAGCTCGCCAGTGTTGAAAGCAGAGAAGCGGCAGTCAGTCGCCGTGACGGAAGACGTCTCGTAGTCAGAAACCTTTCCGTCGAGGAAGCCCTGGCCCTCAGCTCCGTCAGCGGAAACGGGGTGGTGCAGAACGGCCGCCAGACGGGAGAAGTCGGTCGTACGCTTCTCCCTGCCCGTACGGTACGTCTGGCCCATGACACCGTGCACGTCAGCAGTGGGTGCCACGTCAGTGAACATCACGTTGATGTGCGTCTCGGCGTCGTCGGGGGTCTGGAGGAGCGGGTGAGCGACGCGGAGCCTCAGATCCAGCTCCATCTGATCGCCGATCTTGACCGTGTATGCGTCCACATCGTACGGTCCAACCTTCTCGATCTTGTTGAAGGTGAGGGTCAGGTCTGAGATCTTCTTGCTCTCGCCGACCTTCATTCTCGGCAGAGCCCTGTCGTCTGCGACGATAGACTTCACGAAACCGTCGCCACGGGCCTGCTCCTTGCCGTCGCGAGCGGTCATGACGAAGCTGTGCGACGAACCGTCGCGCGACCGCCACATGATGGCGAGCTGGCGAATCCACGTGCGAACCGCCTTGCCGTTCACGATGAGCGCGGCGCTCTCGGTGCGGTCATCGTAATAACCGCGCATGGCCATGTTGATGTGCATCTGACGGTCCGTGTACAGGCAGAAAGATTTCTCGGGCAGCCCGTTGAACTCGAAGCGCGTTCCGTGCGCGCCGAGGAAATGCGGGTCGTCCTTGGTGGTCGGACAGGCCTTGCCGACGCGAATCTTCTTTCCGCCGCCCTTCACGGGCTCGATGCCGTCGATTGCGGGGAGCAGGATGCACTTGCCGCACGGCTTTCCGGAGCACGTGTCCGAGCTTCCGCCGGAGGATCTGGAATAGCAACGCAGCGAAGAGAGGAAAAATCAGGAGCAGGAAAAGGCATCAGGGAAGGAGACGAGAGAGAAGATTGTAAGGAAGTAGTGTTCGAGAAGCAACGGGACAGGCGGGGCCGGTAAGGGGAAGGGAGACGGGAGCGGGAAGTAGGAAGGGTGGGGAGGGAGGGAATGGAAAGGAGGAAAGGGTGGGGAGGGAAGGGAACGGGAGCGTGGTTCGAGGTAAAATTAGCGTCGAGAGAAAGATCGCGGAAGGGACGTACGGAATGTGGACCCAGAAGCGGCAGTTGAAGGAGGTGGTGCCGGTGGTGTTGCTGCACTTGTTGCAGCACGCCTTGGCATGGATGCTGCCCGCCGCGCAGTACGGCTTCGAGGACGACGGCGGCGTGTTCACGCACGCGCCGTACTCTGGGATCTGCGCGGGGAAAGGCGGAAGAATGGGGAAGAAGGCGGAAGAACGCGGAAGAAAATGAGGGGGTGCAAGCTAGTCTTCGAGACAAGAGGGGAGGGGGTCGAGTGCAGAGGGAGAATCGACGAGCTGGATGGAGGGACGAGGGGAGGGGGGAGGATGTATGGCGATTCTGGCGAGAGGCGCGTTGCATTGAGAGCCGACTGGAATGGGAAATGGTGCTAACCGTCCAGTAGTCGAAAGAGCCGGAGTTGTAATCACAGCTGCCCTTAGTGCACAGGCCCTTGAGGTCTTGCGGGTAGGGCTTGTCAGCTGGCTTAGCAGCGTGCGCGGCGGCCGCCATTGCCAGAACGGCGATAAGAATCGCGAGTCGGGATGCCATGGCGACGTTGCTTCTGTGAGACCCGCACGGATTGGAGTCTACTGCTGGTACTGTGCAACAAGCTGTTGGCGGAACTCTATGAAACTAAGAGGAACTGGAGACTGGTAACTGTTTCAACACTCCACGCCCTTTTGATGTGGTGAGAGGAGGAAGGGTAAGGAGCACACACCGCAGGTTGAAGGCTGCTGCTCCTGGCTGTTCCCATGCGACGACAAAGCGATGGGACCACGGACAACACAAGGACAGAAGCAACACTTCTCGGGCAGCGCGTAGCGAAAATGAGGGTGCTTTCCGGGTTTGGGTGGTTGGGAGAAGCTCAGTTTAGTCGAAAAGAGGAAACGCTGATCTGAAACGGAGAGGAAACGAAAGGACGCACGCTGTAATTATAACGAATCTGACCGCAGTCAGAAGAGTTTTTGTGCGCTACAAAACAGCAATCACCCTGGCTCCAGCACTTTCCATTTGTGGTGAAGGCCTCCTCCTGAACACTGTCCTGGTGGGCAGTACCAAACGGCTCACGAAGCGCCAGCAGAAGTGATACACCTGAGAATTCATCTGCGCCTTGTCAGGAACAAGGCTCAATAGTTTCTTAGGGCAGGTGAGAAGCTGTAAAATAGCCTGAAAGCGCACATCCGACAACTACTTGCGTGTCGTCACTAGAACTGACTTTGCTACCGAATTTGGTGTTGGTGGAACTGAACATTCCTAAACTATTTGTCTAATCTGTTTTCTGCTGTATCTGCTTCAACCTGAAAGACCTAACCAGAGCTTGAGGGCTGTAAGCGAAACGCTTTGAAAAACGATCTGGATTCAACATCTTAATGTTGTAGCACACAACCCTAGAAAACCCCCCTAAAGCACCCCACACTAAATTCCCTAATCCCATTGAGAGGAGAGGTATATTCCTCCAAGCAGCAGTCCACCCCATGCTTGGGGCAGCAGCGATCTATCCCCCATGCCGGAGCCCCCAAAGACCGAAGTCAGGAAAAGCCTGCAGCAGCAGCCAGCAGCAGTGGTGGTGGTACGGGCGGCCTCGGGGGGGAAAGCACTCAGAGATCAGTCATGAATCGGTTCGTCAAGCATTGTAGCAGCAGCATGTGCGAGGCTCGGCGCAATGCCTAGCGCAGCAGCAGCAGCAGCAGCAGCAGCAGCAGCAGCAGTAGCAGCAGCACATTTGCAACAAATGGACAAGGCAGAAACGGCTTTCCACCAACCCTTTCTGATCCCTCTCGCCCCCACTTCCCAACCCCCTTTCCCCGTATCCCCCTCAAGTTTCCCTCGTTTAAACCCCATCGCTTCGTCCCATGGCTGTATCACCATCCCAGGGGGAAAAAAACCAACAACTTGTTAGATATGATACTTGCGTCTGCCCATCCTTCCCATCTGGCCAACGGAAGCCCCAAACGCTGGGGTCCGGACAAACCTCCCAAACGTCTAGAGTGCATCCCCCCTCCCTGCACTATAGAGTGGCTTCCCCTCCAACACCTGTTCCCCTCCAACACCTGTTCCTCTCCGACACCTGTTCCCCTCCAACACCTGTTCCTCTCCAACACCTGTTCTCTGAGTCGCCTGGAAAAGGTTCTCCATCACCACCCTTCTCCAGCTGCTATTCTGGGAACTTTCCCCATCCCACCGGCTCCCATTAATTTCATAATTATTATCTACCTGAGGGCATCACTGGTGGGTAACACCTGCCATTCACCCACGTTACAGCTGCTTCGCATCACACAGAGCAGCTCGCCCTGCCCTTCGACTTCCCCCCTCCCAGCACCTTCAACGTTCCCGTCCGTCCGTCCCCCCTGCCCTCGTAATCTGCCATGCCTCTCCCTCGCTCCCATGCTCGTTGCCCCTATCACCTTCGCTCCCCCCATCTCCCTTCACGCCCCATGGGTTCGATCCAGCGGTTGCGCTTGTCCGAAGCCCCACTTTCTCCAGCCGGGTAGACAGAGAATTTCTTCTTAACCTGCCCTGAATCTGCCCAGCCGTTTCATCCCCTCTCCCCCCTCCGGCTTCGCTCCTAGACCCTTGAAGTGACAACCTCCTTCCTCGCCTCCCTGCCCCTTCCTCTTCCTCCTCCATCCCCTCGCTTCCCCCTCCCTCTGCACCCCCTTTGCCCCAGCCTTTCCCAAACAGCTTAAGCCACATCTTTCCAAGTGAACCTTCCCCTCCCTTCTGATTGCTGCCGCTACTACTGCTACTCATAAAACTACCAGAGCCAGCAGCAACAGGAGTGGAACTACCAGCAGCACCAGAAGCCGCGGCAGCAGCAGCAACAGCAGCAGCGGCAGCAGCAGTGGGTGTAGCAGCTGAGAACCCGCTAGCAGTGCTACTGGTAGGGCTCGCGTCACCTCCCCCCCAACCGCTCTGCACCGGCCAGAACCCTCCCGATTTCACGGTGTTCAGCGGGCTCTTAGGCCCAAACGCTTTAAACACCTTGGAAGTGCGTCTAGGTTTAGAAGACGTGGGCACGGGCGGGACTTGGGAGCGGGAGGGGGAAGTGGTGGAGTTGGGGGAGGCGGAGGGAGAGTACTGGTAATCTGGGAAAGCGGGGCGGATGGTACGGTCAGGAGCAGGCGAGGTGGGGGCGAAGGCAGTAGCAGGAGAGTCAGTCTGTCCTGCTGATGCTCCTGCTGTTGCTCTTGCAGGTGATACTCCTCCTCCTCCTCCTCCTCCTCCTCTTGCTCCTCCTGTTCCCATTCTTGCTGCCACTGATGCTCCTGCTGCTGCTGCTCGTCCATACTGTGGGGATCGGAGCATTACCTCGAAGCGACCATCTATGCTGGAAGCACAGGAACGAGCAGGCGAGGTCATATGCATTGAACCACCAGGTGAGGCCAAATACGTTGAATCTGCCGCACCAGCACCAGCCGCACCACCTGCTGCTGCTGCTTCCACACCACCCCCCAAACCTCCTGCCGCAGCAAGCTGGTCGCAGTCCGTGTAGGTTCGGCGGAGGACAGGAACGGCGACAGAACTCGCAGGAGACCGAGGAGACGCAGACGGCTCGGACACAAGACTCGTAGATGCACCAAACCGGTCGGTTACGCGGTAACCATCGCTCCCAGCCATTGGAACACCGCTGTCGCTCCCAGGCCCGGGTTTCCATTCTGAGCTAGAGCTTGGCGGTAAAGTCCATTTCTGAGGCGCACCAAAAACTGCTATGTCCCCACCAGTGGCCACACCAGTGGCAACACCAGTGGCTATGTCCCCAGCGCTACCCGCACCAAGGAACTTGCGGCTGCGGCTGCCACTGTCACCGCGCGGGTAACCAGGAGAGTAACCACCAGCACTAGGGTTACCACCAGCGATCCTGCCAGTAGGACCGAAAGCAGTACTGCTGCTGTTGACATTGTGCTCTGCACCTGCGCCTGTTCCCTCAAGCTCCTCGATCTCTTGCGCTAGGCTGCTTCGTCTGGTACCCGCAGGTGCCAAATCCGGAAAAGCAACTCTGCCTGGAGAAGATGAGCTTATAACGGGGACGGACTGTACTGATCCGGCTTCCTTCTCCAAATCCGCGAGCTCTCGAGCCAGGGGGCTCGACCGAGGGGGGAGGTTCGAGTCCCGCAGAGGGCTGCTTCTGTGTGGCCCATCCACTGGGGTGTGACTATAAGAGTTGCCTCTTGAAGCGTGACTATACGAGCCGTCCATGTCCGGAAAGGCATGTGAGGAAACCGCAGCAGTGGGAGCGGAAGGAGAAGCAGAGGAGCTTAATCGGGACAGCCGTGACGGCGTGATGGGACCCGAAGGAGACATGCCAGGTGACATGCCGGGAGACATGCCGGGAGAAACGCCTGTGACGATGCCAGGGGACATGCCTGAAACCGCACCCTTCCTCCCTTGACTGCTCATCGTCCTTCTCCCTTGCACCGAATCCCACCCCTCTCCACCCCTTCCGCCCTCTCCCCGCTCGCCCTCCTCCCCTTCATCCAAGCCACTGGATCGCACGTTCCAGCTGTGGCTGTGCACAAACGCGCGGTCCCCCCTCTGCGCCGCAGCCACTGCTGCCGATACACTCCTCCTCTCAAACCCCACCCCAGGACCCCCTCCCTCCTCCCCACCCCCATTCCCATCTCCTTCCCCCCCATGCCCTTCCCGCAACGCCCCCTTCCCCCCGTCCTCGTCGTCTCCTTCTTGCATGGCGGCTGCGAGCTGGGCGAGGGCCTGCGGGGGTAACGTTACGCTCATGTTCCACCCGCCGCCGCTGCTGCCCGCGATGCCAGCTGTCGGCCTCTCATTGATCGACAGCCGCTTCCCCGAGCCTGAGCCGCGAAGGGCCGCAGGGGAGCCGAAGGAGGGCGCGATGGGGGGGGTGGAGGAGCCTCGGGGAGGGTATCCGGGGGAGGGGCGCGCAGGTGCAACTGGGGACGGTTCGACTGCGGTAGGCCGATATTGCAGCTCTGCTCCTCCTCCTTCTCCTCCACTGCCGTCCCTGCTGCTATCAACGGCATTTGCCTTGGCCGACCGGCTGCTTCTATCTGCTGGTCTAACGGGTTGACCCAGGTCAAGGGACGGGCCTACCGGCCGGATGGGTTGACCGAGGTCAAAGCAGGGGTCAACGGCGCACCCTGACACATCCGCCCCCACTCCCACCAGCACCTCCCCCACCTCCTGCAGGAGCCTCTGTCTCGGCGTGAGACGACTGCCCGCACTCCCCCTCCCCCCGCTCGCCTCGCCACTGTTCCGCCCGGTACCTCCCCCTTTCCGCCTGCCTCTTCCCCGCCCGATTCCCGGATCCGACGCGGGGAGGCGCTGCCACGTGGCACCCTTCAGCGCTTGCCCCGTCATCAGGGTGGCACCATCAATCCACCCTGAGTCATCATCATCATTATCCCTGCCGTCCCTGCTGTTTCTACCCCCAGCATCGCTCCCCCCAGCTGCTTGCTGCTGCTCTCTCGTCTGTTGATCCTGACCGTTCGATCTGCTGCTTCTTGACCCTGTACCTGTTCCTGTACCGGCCGCTGGCATCCCTTCCGCTTCCCCGTTTGCGGAACTCCGCCTATTGTCACAGTTCTCAGAATCGCCCGCTTCATCCTCCCCCCTAAGCTCTGCCCTGTCCTCCCCACCACCACCACCACCATCACCTTCCCTATAATCACCATCATCCTCGTAATCATCCCACCCCCCTTCCTCACCCTCCTCCCCCTCCTCGCTCTCCTCCCCATCCTGACTCTCACCTGCGGGAAACGAATCCTCCGACTTGGTCCGATACGCGAACGGCGCGTCGTGGTAGATCGTCAGCGGCGGCGGCTGCGCGCCTTCCTCGATCTTTCCTCTGTGCGAGCGGAAGGTCGACGCGAACGACTTGCGGATGTTGTCGCGCGTCGCGTCGGGCAGCGGCGCGCCCGAGTGCAGGTCGCACTTGCGCGCGGAGTAGAGGAACGCCGTGCGCACGCGCCCCAGCAGCCCGCGCGCCTGATCCTTGGTGAGCGGGTCGTAGCCCAGACAGAAGAACACGATTCCGTCCTTTGCCATCAGAAACAGCACGAACAGCCGCCCGTGGCCCTGGCAACGGGGGGTGGGGACAGGGGGAGCGGTGGAGGCAGAGGGGGGGGAGCGACGGAGGGGAGGGGAGGGGGTAGACGGAAAAAGGGGGCCTTTCGATCTGCTCTCTTGGTGAGGTTTGTGCGGACTGCGGAACGACGCGCCCCACCAGCCCGCGCGCCTGATCCTTGGTGAGCGGTTCGTAGCCCAGACAGAAGAAGACGATTCCGTCCTTTGCCATCAGAAACAACACGAACAGCCGCCCGTGGCCCTGGCAACGGGGGGTGGAGAGGGGGGGATGAGGAGGGCGGGAGGGGGGGAGGGAGGAAATAGGGTGGAGGGCGGGAGGGAAGAGGGGAGTAGAAAGAGGAAAAGAGCGGAGGATTCGGAAGAGAAGTTGAGAAGGTTATCATTGTCCGTTACTCGCTCGAGGTGCTTGCAACGGTTGCGTTTGAGATTCCTGCTAACGGTGATAGAATCTCAAGACGACTTCTGAGGCCTCCTCAAGAAGATGCCATTGTCCGTGATTCGTTCGAGATCATGACAATCGATGCATTTGAAAATCCAGCTGACAGTTACAGAAGTTTGAACCGCCTTAAAAAAGCAATCGCTGCGCTCGATGTTCCTTCTCACACTGACTAAATTCTGTGACATTGAAAGTCTAGGTCACTATTCGTGCAATGAAACGCTGACATTTCTTGGCAATCACAATGCAGCTATATAGGAATATTGTGATGTTTCAGGTTGATCAAGCGTCAGGCGAGCAGGAAAAAAAAACAAAAAAACAGAGCGAAAATTAAAGGACGCTTCAACAAAGCGCCGGCCATTAGACCACATGACGGAGGAAACATTGTTCCAACCATTTTGTAGAGTTGCTACATTCGAGCAATATGTAAAATTTCAGGACAGTTGGAGAAAATATCGGTTACAAATTATGCTTAAGAATAAAACAAATGCTCTTTTCGCTGAAGTCCCTTCGTGTCACAACATTCGACCTTACCATTGAGATTTGCGACGCATGTTCCGGGAGAGCGGGTAATGCGGAGGAGATCGCCTCTCGGTACGCGTCCCTGTCTCGGCCGTAATCCGCGAGAATATTACCCTTGCTCGTCGCAATCCCCGCATACGCCACCAACTCCACTTCCTCCATCCTTAACGAACAGTCTTAACCTTAGATAGTACCCGTATATTATACACTTGGATTGGAGCCTCTGCGATCGTGCAACGAGAGTTGCAGTGATCGAAGCTAGGAAGCAATGTGAGAGCAGTCAATCCAGAAATGTAAGCGACACTGCAATGGTGGCCATAAATGCGATCACAAAGCCCGCGAAGTCGTCCGCTTAACTAAATAAGAGGCAACGTTACGCCGATCTTCACGCGATGACTGCTGACTGGGAACCGCTGCCACTAAGATACGATCCTATTGCGAAAATCACGGAATAAAAACCTCGTGCTAAGTGTGCTTTGGGGAATATCAGGCGGGTGGTACAAAACAGTACATATTGACATCCGTGTTCTGTCGTTACCTACGGTATAGTACGTTTCTGTACGGTGCATCGGTTTCAGAAGCCTTGCAGAGTGAGAATGCCAGGGGTGTGTTTCTGTCTGGGCTGAGGGAACAAGCGAGGTCGGCGGAAGTAGGTGGGGGTTGCGCCGGGGTTGCTTTGCGCTGCGCGGGTGGTCTGCTAGGCGGAAAACTATCTAGCCCGAGGGGGTGAATGGAAGCTCGGCGCGCAGAAGCACACAGCCAGATTCTTGTAGGATTTCGGTGCATTTAAAGCGACGGGCAACTTTTGGCAGTGTTGGGTTCAGAAGTTTTTTTTTTTGAACCAGGCTTGCCAGCGCGAAAGTGCTGGCTGGCGAAAACCAGGATTTCGTGCGGACACTTTCCATCCGCAGTAACAGTTCGCCAGGGTTCTGGGTTTTGGGTGGCAAATGTGCACCGTCGCTTTAAGTCAACCCACATTCCGATCCGATGTGGTGCGCGGGCGGAGGCTTGTTGGATGTTGGAACGTGACCAAGGGGGAAACGGTCAAGGTGCCCTGTTTCTGTATTTTGAGATATATACATGGAACTTCGGGTAGCAAACACTAAAAGTATGGGGAAAAAGGAACAAATTTGTTGGAAAAACTAACACACCCACACCAGACACACCCACACTGGACACACATGCACAGACAAACACACACATGCACGCCCACGGGCATGCACACTAACACACACACACACACACACGAACACACACACGAACACACACATATACACACACACACATACACACACACACGCACACACACACACACACACATGCACGCACGCACACACACACACACACACTTCCAATTAGCATCTTGTTTCGAATTTGTCATTCATACTTCTACACAAATTCAGTTACCTATAATATTCAGATAGGTACACATTACACAACACTCGAACCTAGAGGTTGTATTGTTGTTGGAAACATTCCGTTTACGCTTCTGAAGTATCGAGCACTATAACAAAAAGAGAAGTATACTCACAGCGAAGCAACACCGAGTCAACCAAAGCAGTTGACTAGGCGACAACAGCAGGAGGTTGAAGCGAAGGTCAAAGGTCAACGACCTTTGAGTAGACAAAGGCAGCGCGACAGCAGGGACAAATAACTTACTCGTTATTGAACAGTTACCCGAGTCGTCGTTGTATCGAACCGCAACAGCTGTTATAGTTAATCCCTTCGTATTCCTTATGATTATATATATATATATATCATTGTATCTCTTTGCTATAATCAATTCATCTTGTTCTCACATACTAGTACAAGATGGCTCACTCAACCCATTTGTCAGAATTATATTCTTATACCTGCATGTAGTTCTAGCTGTAGTGTAGATATTAACTTTATAGGTGGTGCACCTCTTTGTTTGCTATATGTACCCTAGTGCTATATTGAACAAACATTCCTCTCATCTCTCGACTCTCTCTCCTTGGCACAAACCACCTCGACTCCCTTGGCCTAGGCTACTATGTCAAACATGTTTATATGTTATAGTTTAGGTAGGCTTTAGTGGGGTACTCACTGTGGGGTACAACCCCTTAGGTTTTCATTTGTATCAACTCTCTCGATAGTCCACCATCTTTTTCCCTTTACTCTCGACATGGTATTAAGAGCGACATAGGTCCCTAGGACCGTTTTAGGACTTTTTTTTCGGGCCCACCAACCGTTTTCCGCCGGTTACCGAGTTACCCCGCTCCTTGCCTACACTGCCCTACGTCGCGCAGCCCTCGCGCTCACCTCTGCTGGCCCTCGTACAGCCCGCTAGCAGCCCGCCTGCTGCCTCGTCAGCCCCACGCGTAGCCCGCTAGCTGCCCTGTCAGGCCCGCGCACCGCCCCGCAGCCCCCGCGCTGCCTTCTCCTGCCCCGCGCGTAGCTTCGCAGCACTCGAGCTGCTTTCTACGGCCGCCGACGCGGCCTCGCCCTGCCGCGGTCGCGGCCCCACCCTGCCGCCGACGCGGCCCCGCCTGCGCGCTGCCCCCCCCCCCCCCCCCCCGTCGCCAGTCGCGGCGCCTGTGGGACCCGCGCACTGCCCTATACCAGCTACGCCGCCCCTGGTGCAGCCGTCCCTGGACCCTCGAGCAGCCGCCCCTGGACCCAGAGCAGCCGCCCCTGGCCCCTGAAGCAGCCGCCCCTGGTGCAGCCGCCCCTAGACCCTCGAGCAGCCGCCCCTGGACCCAGAGCAGCCGCCCCTGGCCCCTGCAGCAGCCGCCCCTGGAGCAGCCGCCCCTGGACCCAGAGCAGCCGCCCCTGGCCCCTGCAGCAGCCGCCCCTGGACCCAGAGCAGCCGCCCCTGGCCCCTGCAGCAGCCAACCCTGGAGCAGCCGCCCCTGGAGCAGCCGCCCCTGGACCCCGAGCAGCCGCCCCTGGCCCCTGAAGCAGCCGCCCCTGGAGCAGCCGCCCCTGGACCCCGAGCAGCCGCCCCTGGCCCCTAAAGCAGCCGCCGCTGGTCCAGCCGCCCCTGGACCCAGAGCAGCCGCCCCTGGCCCCTGAAGCAGCCGCCCCTGGTGCAGCCGCCCCTGGCCCCTGAAGCAGCCGCCCCTGGTCCAGCCGCCCCTGGACCCAGAGCAGCTGCCCCTGGCCCCTGAAGCAGCCGCCCCTGGTGCAGCCGCCCCTGGACCCCGAGCAGCCGCCCCTGGCCCCTGAAGCAGCCGCCCCTGGTGCAGCCGCCCCTGGACCCTCGAGCAGCCGCCCCTGGACCCAGAGCAGCCGCCCCTGGCCCCTGGTGCAGCCGCCCCTGGACCCTCGAGCAGCCGCCCCTGGACCCAGAGCAGCCGCCCCTGGCCCCTGAAGCAGCCGCCCCTGGTGCAGCCGCCCCTGGACCCAGAGCAGCCGCCCCTGGCCCCTGGTGCAGCCGCCCCTGGACCCTCGAGCAGCCGCCCCTGGCCCCTGAAGCAGCCGCCCCTGGTGCAGCCGCCCCTGGATCCCGCGACGCCGCCCCTGGACCCGCGACGCCGCCCCTGGACCCCGTGCAGCCGCCCACCGAGCGCCGGCCCTGCTCGCCCGGCGAGCGCCTGCTCTTCCCGCCACTGGTGAGCACCTGCCTTGTTAGCGCGCTGCCGCGCCTGCCTGCCTGCCTGCCAGCCTGCCTACCTGCCAGCCAGCCTGCCTGCCTGCATGCCTGCCTGCCTGCCTGTCTGCCTGCCTGCCTGCCTGCCTGCCTGCCAGCCAGCCTGCCTGCCTGCCTGCCGCGCCTGCTCTGCTAGGCTACTGCTACTGGTACTGGCGGTGGCCAGATGCAGCTCCAGCGACGTCCGCGCGAGTCTCTCACGCCCCAGCAGCTTCGTGAGTGGTACGCTAGTTGGGGTTGTGGCGGTAGTCGTCGTAGCTGTCGCCCTAGAGCTGGTCAGTTGGGAGCGTGGCAGTGGCCAGCTGCAGCTGCAGCGGCGTCCACGCGAAACACTTACGTCCCAGTAGCTTCACGAGTGGTACGCTCAGATTAGGGGGTCTTTGAGTACCGTTCGCTGCCCGTACGTCATTCGCACAGGTGATCGGATGCGTCAGACTTGCGGGACGCTTAGTCACACCCAGTCCCGCTGCTTCGCCCGTCTGAGTGACGCCTGGCGTACTGAGTTTGGCGACGAGGCTGAGCTCCCCGACTGGGTGGAGCTGCTTGGGCAGAGGGTAGATATATTTGCTCTTGACTATGATGCTATTCTCACTGCCATGTATGCATTGCCTACTAGTGCTAACAGTACCTGTTACCTGTGCGCCACGCCTGACCCAGGTCTGGAGCCTGCTGCCCTCGGTGCTGGTGAGGCTGCTGCTCTAGGTGCTAGTGCGTCTCCTGCTCTGGTTGCTGGTGAGGCTGCTGCTCCAGGTGCTGGTGAGTCTGCTCTCTTTGGTACTGCGCCTGCTGAGGCCTTGTACACCTTCACACTGGACTCAGGTGCTTCCCGCTCCTTCTTCGCGACAGCACCACCCTCACGCCGCTCAGCTGGCCGGTTCCAATATCCCTGGCAGACCCCTCTGAGGGTCCAGTCCTTGCGCGCTCCTCCACGGTCCTGCCGTGTCCGGCGGTCCCGTCTGGATCCCTGTCAGGTCTTCACCTCCCCTCGTTCTCTACGAACTTGGTGAGTGGTGCTGACCTCCAAGACCAGTGGGTTGACCAGTTCACTCCTGGAGGTCAGCGCGTGACCCACTGTACGTGCTCCCGGACGGGCCGGCACCTGGCCACGTTTACCCGTGCGCCTGGCTCGAGTTTGTACACACTGACTACTGTGTCCCCTCAGGTCGCTGCGTCTGCGTCTGCGTTAGGTCAGCTAGCGGCCCCCTGCTCGTGTCGCGCTTTGTCGCACCAGACCCTCCTTTGGCACCACCGCCTTGGTCACCCCTCGGTGCAGCGCCTTCGTAGCATGCACCGCCGTGTCCTTGTCTCTGGTCTTCCCAGGGTTCTCCCTCCCCTCCCACCCTCGCCTGCTCCTCCCTGTCTTCCCTGTGTCGAGGGGCGGCAGCGCGCCGCTCCTCACTCCTCCTCGTTCCCTCCCACAGAGGCTCCCCTGCAGACTCTCCACCTGGACGTGTGGGGCCCAGCCCGCGTCCGTGGACAGGGCCACGAGCGGTACTTCCTGCTGGTCGTCGACGACTACACGCGTTACACCACGGTCTTCCCCTTGCGC